GTGCTTTTGTTCCCTTGGCAGAGTTGATGCAGAGGTGAAAGAGGCGGCAGAAGTAGCTCTTGCCATGCTTCGAGTCGTGATGCCCAAAGTGACACCAGTTGCGACGAGGACGCTTTTGTTCTTTGCGCCGGTTGCGGGAACAATTTGAGCCTTTCTTGATGTCATTAATTTTGGAAGGGCGCTTGAATTTCTTGAACGGAGAAAGAGATGAGAGGCAGAGATTGTCCCACTGGGCGTGCCAATTTGTGAACACGGAAAATTCCTGAAACGAAAGAGACAAGAACGACGTGCACAAACAAATATTTGTATTTTTTGATTTTGGGTTACAATCTCTCTCAAATTTGATCCTCTGATTCGATCTCCGTAAGGTATTGATTTGTGGATGTTTCGTTGATCCAAGGGTCGTTGAGGCTTGATCTTGGATGAACTGTTGGAAGTTTCTTCAAGGGGGCCGTGGGCTTGATCTTTGAAGGTGGATTTGAGCGGATCTTCAAGGAGCCGTTGGAACTTGATCTTGAGGATAAGTGTTTCTTCAATGGCCGTTAAGGCTTGATCTTGAATAACGGTGATGAACGGATCTTCAAGGGCTTTTGGGCTTGATCTTGAAGAACGGTTGGATGTGTGGATTTGTTGAACGTTGTTGATCCAAAGGGCCGTTGGGGCTTGATCTTGGATGAACTGTTGGAAGTTTCTTCAAGGGGTCGTGGGCTTGATCTTTGAAGGTGGATGATTGTTGATCCAAGGGCCGTCGGGGCTTGATCTTGGAAGAACGGATGATGAACGAAGAACGAAGAAGGCTTTCTTGATTCTTCGGGAACCTAGATGCTTGAGAGCTTCGGAGTTTCAGAGCTTCAGAGCTTCAAGGTGTAGTATCAATTGGTTCCAAATGAATGAATTAGCCTTCTATTTATAGAATTTTCCAAGGCCTAATTTTGAATATAATATTCCAGATGAAATAAGTCTTTTCTGCCATGTGTTGACACGTGTCCTGTTTGATGACTTTTCCAACTCATTTCAATTTTCGTTGAGTCATACGCTACGTGTAAAATTTATGTAATACATGAGCGTTGACACTTTGATTTATCGGTCAACATTTATTTACCGAAATTTCGATGTCTACATTTATATTAAAAAAAAGTACATTTTATAGATAACAAATTGGTATATCTAAGAATAAGTACATTTAAGATTAGAAAAATAGAAGAATTATATAAATGGGTACATATAAAATTAAAATTTTGAATTTTTTTTTATAAAACATTAATGGGTACAAACTTATTCTTATTTTAGTTTTTATATTTTGGAAATTTTTTGAATTGAAAATGAATTAGGAGTTTAATAAGGATGTGAGTATTAAAACCCTAAATCAATTACTAATTTTTATTTTAAAATTTATGTAACTGACATGTAATTTATTAATACATTAATGTTAGGGACTTTGATCAAAATATAAAAACTATTAAGGTCTTAATTAATATAAGAACATTAAAAACTAAGAACTGAATACTAATTTTTCCTTAAATTTTTTCATTCTTATCTCTATTAATTAATGAAACCCTCTTTGTCAACCAAAAGAAAGTGAAAAGACTACTTAGTCTTCTATCACACAAAAAAATAATCGGCAATAATGTAATTTCACAACTCTAAATTTTACTATTTTTATTGAAGTCTCACCTACAGGTAATGTTAAAATACCTTCAATATTAAAAATAAAAAATAAAAAATAAAAAAAACTCTCACTTCCCCCACGTTCTCTCTCTCTCTCTCTCTCTCTCTCTCTCTCTCTCTCTCTCTCTCTCTCTCTCTCTCTCTCTCTCTCTCTCTCTCTCTCTCTCTCTCTCTCTCTCTCTCTCTCTCTCTCTCTCTCTCTCTCTCCTTCTCATTTTCTAAAAAAATAGGCAAATGCTAGTTGTTCATTATAGTTTTTGTTTCTCGAAATGTGCAACTTTATCAAAAAGTTAGGTTAAGTGTCACAAAATATGACATGCCAACATAATTTTCTAGAAGATGAAATTTCAACAAGAATACAAGATCAACAAAATACTGATAACATATAACATGTGTATTAGTGTGTGGAAATACAAGATCAACAAAATATTGATTTTATTATATTAACATGAATCATGTGTATTTTTTTTTTTCAAAAAAGGGACTAGTTGGCTTCGTCACAGTAATCCACCTTTTTGGTAGCCAGGAAAACTCAAAGAGGAATTTTAGTCTCCCTTTTACCACCATCGTATGATTCACAAGTAGGGCTAGGTTCAGTTCAAATCGGTTCAGTTTGGTTTTTTTCAGTTTCGATTTCGGTTTGGTTCGGTTTTTTCCAATTATTTTTTTAATCTAGATATTGGCATGTTATTTAGCTGCCCTAAAATCATTCCCAAAAACATAATAACGTTTAGACATTAAACTTGATAAATAGGGTGATAAACTATATTATTGAAACCTAGCTACTAGAACAAATGAATATCAAATCAAGCTATTTTCATGACTACCTAGAACAATAGGCTCTTATTCCGTGTATGCAAGAAAAACCATCATCATGGCATGACGTCGATCCAAGCGGAGAACACTCATCAACCTGTGATTTATAAATTCTCTCTGAGAAGCTTATGGTTTTCCTTGCACTATCCGTGGGTGGGTGGGTTATATATTGCATAGGAGATCAATGAGATGGGAAAGGAATATATGCCTATTATCATCCTAATGATTGTTATTTGCTGCAGGTTTGCTATACATAAAAAAATACATATCCAATGCAAAATAATATTTGAAATGTGGCATGCATATGGTACAGTTTACTCTTGTTTTCATGTTTTTTTATTTATTTTTAATTTTAAATCTGGATATGGGTGAAGAAACAATATTTTGGGCTTAAAGTTTGGGTTTAGAGTTTCTAAAGGCTTTATTTTTAATATTTTTGGTTTAAAATTTGGCAACACATTGGGCTTTTAGCATATTTGGGCTTATAAATTGGGTTTACAAAATAATACCCAAAACAGATAATTATTATTTTTTTAAATATTAATTTAATTAATTTGGTTCGGTTCGGTTTCTAGACCACTGAAACTGAAACCGAACCAAAAGAATTTGGTTCGGTTCGGTTCGATTTTTGGTTTTTTTCGGTTTTCGGTTTTTTGAACCCACCCATATTGACAAGCGCTAAGAATTGAACTCAAGACGTACCGTGTAGAATACAAACCTAGAATTCGAACCCAACCACTGAGCCACCCTATGGTGGTTATATGATGTAGGCACTACAATAAGTATGGTCCCTATATTAAATATGGATGTTGGTGGCTTTCACCTACCAAAGCTGTTGGAGCATTTATGTTTTTATTTAAATATTTTAAATATTTATATTTTAGTTTATTACAAACATTAAATATAAAACATAATTTGTTATCATCCTTTGATTGTAGACAGTTTTGCATCCCATAAATCCCCATAAATATCCTTGATTTTGTACGGTTTCACACCCTCCAACGTGCATCCTATAAACATCCATGATTTCTTACGGTTTCAAACCCTCCAATGTCTATTTCTTTATATATATATATATAGATTATATAGGTTAGAAAAAGAGCAGAACATAGACGAAGTAAGAAAAAGTTTTATATATATTGATTTATAAAAAGCAATATATTGGTAAGGTGTAAGTTCGAAGGTTCTTCCGATGTGCAAGGAAGAATCTTATCAGAAGAAGGTTCTTGGCTGTTTTATCCTAGGGACGACGTGGTGTTTGTGAACTGCTTGCACACTTTGGGCAGAGCCGCGAAACGTCTTAAAGAAAGTGACTTAGTCCGCGACTCATCCCAAGAATCATTCACCACTCAAGGCTTTTACATTTTTTCGGGTAACTTCGTTCCTTTCTATTTCAGTGTTCAACAAAAGCCATGGTTTGATCTATTTTAATTAAGTTACATTCTAACCAATGTTCGAAAATGCGGCCTAAGAGGCAGCCTAAGCGCTGGGAGTTGGGCTTCCGAGGTGATTTGGAGCGAAACGTTAGAGAAAATCGGTGATGGCTTAGGCAGGCGCCTAGGCAGCCGCTAGGCGGTCTAGGCGGTGTTAGGCGGCCCACTAGGCAGTTGCCATACCTTCGCCAGCATCGATGGTCCCAAAGAGGAAGGAGATCCACGTCCTTTCTTTGAGCCCTAAACAAAAATTTAAGACAAAACCCTGACTTTATTAAAATAATTAAACAATCAACGGAGAAGGTAGTGGAATTTGGAGCTAACCTGGGCCGGCTTTCTTTAGGTTCTTGATGTATCTGACCATTTATGGTTCTTCAGATTTTGTAGAAACGGCTGACAAAGGTAAGAGGTGAAATGAATGCAAAAGTAAATAGGGTTTTGGTGGGGCTAGGGAGCATTTTGGGCTCCAGAGGAGAAATGAATGCAAAAGTAAATAGGGTTTTGATGGGGCTAGGCATTTTATGATTATAATATGCCTTTATTTTGGGCCCAAAATAATATATGATTATATTAATGTGTTTTTAACCTCTAAACTTGTTGAATACTTGTAATTTATATATTCTTCTACTTTTATTTTTCAATTTACTATTATTTTGTTCTCAATACAAGTATATGTATTCACTATAAGAAAACAGGGCTTCAGTGACGATGGCAAAGCGTCACTGAATACTACAAATTCGTCATATAATAGTATATGCGACGAATTTCGGTTGTCACAAGGCTCGTCACCTATGTGGAGTCATCGATAGTATATGTGACGAATTTGTGATTCGTCACTTGTTCTTAGTATACGTGGCGCCCGATTCCTCACATATTTTCAAGCCCAAATGCCAATCTTGACTCAATTTATGACGTTATAAGCGTCACAAATCCTAAAATTATGTGATGAATAGGTATATCGTCACATGCTCCTTTAAATTGTTTATATTATATTTTAATCCATTTATTCATTTACATTTTATCATTTTAGGAATTAAACTAGCATTTCAGCTTAATGTAGTTATGTAAATGGCAAGTACATACTATGAAACTCAATGAAAAAAAATTCTTATAATTCAAATATGGGTAGTTTTTACATTAACATGTCCACAGTAACCTACAATATATCCCAATTGTAGCTTGAAAAAGATAATATCATAACTAAAAATATTGAATGGGAGTTGTCTGCTACGAAATCGGTAGCATCAATAATAGGCAACATAGAGGAAACTGGCCCTTTGAATAGGTTCAATCTTTAAAGCTCCAGCTGCATCACCACTTTTAATTTTGTAATCCATTCCAGTAGACATATCAAGAACTGTTTCACTCAAACAAAACGGTTAGGTAACCCAAATGTTGTTCAAACGCATAACTTACTAAAAACATTATAGCAAGAAAAAAAGTGTTGATACACAAGATATATCCCTTCTACAGTACACTTGACCAAAAGGTATACATATTAACACCTATTTAAGTTATTAAACGACTTTACCGGTATATATTTGTAATAGCACCTGGGAATATGGGTGGTGATATAACCAATACCATGATTGACCTGCAAAAGACAAAAATGGATTATTTGTTGGCCAACCTAGTTGGACCTTTGTTTTCCATATTAGTGGACCTACACAAAGAGACCATTCTTGAAAAACAGTGAGACCTAAATATTCAAATCCCAAATGACAACTAATTTATATATAAAGCAAAGCAAGTAGACTTAGTGAGAAACAAGAATCCTAACTAAAATCTCAAACAAAAATCCATCACAACAAAAGAGAATACAACACGCACACAACTACTCATATGAGCTAACAAAAGGGTTAGAAGTCAAGCAACCAAGTACCAACCTGTAATTGAAAATTCATATAAAAAAATAAGTTAACCAAACATTCGAAATGATCTAAATGTAGATTCCCAAAAAACACAAGAAAGAAAAATATTCAAATATATTACAAAACTCTACTAATCTACACTAGTGAAGAGAGAAGGGTTTGAACTTGAGACGCAGTTGGTTGACTAAGAATGTCAGGGCAATCCATAACTCATTATTGCCTCTTTGTTTCTTTTTTCTTTCTCTTACATGAAGAAAGTTGAAGTTGCACTTCAAAACCAATTGAAAATAGACCAAACTTTTCTCATAATACAAGATTTAACTTTCCAATGTCAGATAGCACCACACAACATTTTTTCCTTTCTAAATCACGACCTCAAAAAAACTTACCTCACATGCATTCTATCATGTCCTTTTTAAAAAAGAAAAAGTTACTATTATTAAGGAGTAAGGGAAGAGTTCGAAACTATTATATTACTTGAGAGAAAGGGAAAGTTTTGAACACATAAGTAAAAACTCAACACCTAATCCAATAGAAATTAGTCATTTAGATATGAGGTTAGGTATCGAATGGCTGGTTGAATTAAGTTAGGACAAGTCAGACTCAACCTAGTAGGACAAGTCAGACTCATTTGTGACACACAAAAAACATTTACGAGACAAAAAGGAGTGGACAAAGTAAGAACACATATACATTATAAATGAAAGAAAAGCAACCACCAATTCAGCCCAATTATCTTTATGTGGTCCCTCCAAATATAATATCCTTTTACAAGGAAACTCGTCTGTAATAGAGAAATTTTTTAGTGTAATCAGAATATGAAATGATACACCATATGTAACTATACAAATGATGAGATATATATATTATTAAAATTTTCTATTACTTATATAAAACATGTGATGTAACGCTCGTATTCCAATCACAATAAAAAATTTCTCTCGGTAATAGACGGTGATGAAGCTAACAACATTTTTTTGCAGACCAAGATATAAAGCTTGAGTACCACTTTGGCTAGCTGTTTTTTGGCTACCGACTCTGATCGGCCATTTTGGCTAGTTGTTTTTGGCTATCTACTGTTATCGAGACGCTTTGAGTCACTTTTTGTTAAGTATCTTGCCGTATATATACTAGTAGACATAGTTGATTGTAGAGTATAAAGTGGTAACTTAAACAATTATGTATGTTTTAATCCTACATGAAAAACAGAAGCATTCTAGAAAATAATTTCATCTTGCAAGAAAAATAGAAGCATTCCAAAAAAATAATTTCATCATACAATTCACAGTAAAAAGAAAAATGCGGAAAAGTAAAAAGCAAATAGAAAAATTGATTAAAAATCCTCCATATATAATAATAAATCTAGTTAAAAATCCTCAATCGTAGAATTAAACAGCCAGGCACAAATACATATTGATCTAGAAAAATCAAAACCAAAATTTACCCAAATTAGAGGTTGCAGAGTGCGGATGTGCAAGCAGAGGGCTGCTGGAGGCCAGTACCTGCAAATTCAAAACCAAATTTAGAAAAAAAATGATAGAAAAAAATTGAAAAGAAACTTCAATCCTATCAGATTGGGTTGAGCGTATGAAGGTGATCGTACACTCGTAACATCCATCCAGAAATTTCTGTACTTCCCATGTCCATCTGTTCATTGCTTTTTTCGGTCGCCACTACCAGTGACAAAAATCCAAGGCAATGAAATAGTAGCAAATTAAAATTAAAGTTTCACATTCTGTGGATCTGGTTAAAATTATAAAGTTTCACCCATTATTCATTGATTTTCGAAAGAGAAAGAGAAAGGAAATTGATAATTGGGTTATATAATGTACGCACTACAATAATTATGGTCTCTATATTAAATATGGATGTTGGTGGCTTCTCACCTACCAAAGTCATGCTTTGATCTATTTTAATTAAGTTTCATTCTAACCAGTGTTCGAAAACGTGGTCTAAGCGGCTGCCTAGGCGCTGGGCGTTAGGCTTCCGAGGTGATTTGGAGCAAAACATTAGAGAAACTCGATGATGGCTTAGGCGGGTACCTGGGCAGCCGCTAGGCGGTCTAGGCGGCCCGCTAGGCGGTCTAGGCGGCCCGCTAGGCGGTCTAGGCGGCCCGCTAGGCGGTTGCTATACCTTCGCCAGCATCGATGGTCCTGAAGAGGAAGGCAATCCACCTTTTTTCTTTGAGCCCTAAACAAAAATTTAAGACAAAACCCTAATTTTATTAAAATAATTAAACAATCAACGGAGAAGATAGTGGAATTTGGCGCTAACCCTGGCCCTTCTTTTGGCTTTCTTTGGATTCTTGATTCATCTGACCATTTATGGTTCTTCGGATTTTGCAGAAACAGCTAACAAAGGTACGAGGATGCAAAAGTAAATAGGGTTTTGGTGGGGCTAGGGAGCATTTTGGGCTCCAGAGGAAAAATGAATGCAAAAGTAAATAGGGTTTTGGTGGGGCTAGGCCTTTTATGATTATATTAATATGTTTTTAAACTCTAAATTTGTTGAATACTTGTAATCTATGTATTCTTCTACTTTTATTTTTCAATTTACTATTATTTTGTTCTCAATACAAGTATATATATTAGTCTCTAATCTATCAAGGATTCTTCCAGTATCAGTTTAAAATAAAAGGTAACCACTGATTGATAGACATGTTTTGGTATGCTTGCATATGTTGTCAAAAGCATCACAGTTCTGGAAATGAAAGGTAACATTGATTCATTTTCCCCATGGCAAGTCTGATATAAACCTCAATGATAATAGGACCTTGTCCCAACTAATCATGCTTCTCGATCCATTTACAACGCTGGGGCTTATTTTTATTTTGAATCACATGTTGTTATATATTTCCTAATTATCCCCATCCATGTTATTTTCTGTCCTCTTACTGTCATACTCTCAATGTTGATTATTCAATATTTGAACAGGTAAAGCCATTAACCTTCGTTGAAGCGTCCAAGCCCCCGAAGCCTATTTTATTTTTATTTTTTTTCCACTTTGCGAGTGAATACCATCATTCTCAACCAAGATGCCAGCACAATCCCCTACGTTGATAGGAGTCACCGAAAGGAGGTAGTTCAATATGTTAAATGGAAGCAAAGAGAAAGTCGAAGTAGCAGAACTATCTCTCAGACAAACACCAAAAGAAGGAAACGGAAGATCAGGATTTCCATGGAGAATAATGAAAACTAGGGCTGGGTTCAGTTCGAAACGGTTCAGTTTTTTGTCCAAACCGAAACCGAACCGAAATTTCGGTTCGGTTCGGTCTATTTTTTTCAATTCGGTTTGTTTCGATTTTGAGAATGAAAACTGCAGTTGTATCATAGAATCACAAACTCGAATTCGACGGTGGGTTTGAGAATGAAAAAGAACTCGAAGATGGAGATTGTAGAATTAAAAGCTTGAAGAATCGGACTTGAAAATAATAGGATCAAAAGTTCGAAGAATCAGACTTAAAATAATAGAATCAAGATTTAAGAAATAAAAAGCGGAGAGAGAGAGAAATAGTGAGATACTACGAGAGAGTGAGAAATAGTGAGAGAGAGAGAGACAAAGTTCTATAAAGCAAGCACCCATGTGCTTGATACAACCTTTGTCAGCAACACTTTAATTAGTTTAATAATATAATAATTAGCCCATTACACATTCCAACACACACACACACACATATATATATATATATATATATATATATATATATTCAAAACAGATATTTAAATAATAAAAAATTAAAAAAATATATTAATTTAATTAATTCGGTTCGGTCCGGTTTTCGGACCTTAAAAACTGAACCGAACTGGCCAAATTCGGTTCGTTTCGGTTCGATTTTTTTTGTTCAGTTTTTTTTGTTTCGGTTCGGTTCTCAGTTTTTTTTCGATTTTTGGTTTTTTGAACCCAGTCCTAATGAAAACCACAAAAGCAAGAATGAGAATTATAAGATTTGAAGAATGTGGAGGCGTATATAGAAAATGTATGGTGTATGTTGAGAATGTGGGGTCTAAGGGTGTTATGGGAAGTATGTGGGGTTTATTAAAATAAGTTTTAATTAAAAAAACAAATGTGAGGTGCATTAAATATGTGGAGTTTATTCAACAATATGTGGGGTGTTAATATAATAAGCTTATATTTAATTTGATAAACTTAATTTCCAGAATCTAATTTTGTAAACAACTTTAACCGGAATCTAATTTTGTTTCATTCTCAATTAAATTCCTCCTCAATCCGATTTCTCCTCAATTCAATTCCCTTAAATTTGATTACGGATTAGTAAACGCGCCCTTAAAGTGTTTGGTTGCTAGAATAGTAGATATGTTGTTGTTTGGTTAGAGAGTTAAGAATGACAATTGTTGTAATTTTATTGGGCCATAAAGTCTAGTGAGTAAAATTGGTACTAAATTGTGAGCACTCAAGTATTGTTTTTTTTTTTCTTTTAAGACCCCTACTGTATTTATCTTAAACTCTCACATTATCTATAAATATTGTATTACTTTTTAAAAAGTAATGTAAATATTGGTTAATGCTTATTTTACGATAAAAGAAATTCATTTAAATCCTATTGGGCTCCTGCCTAGATCTCGCCTAGGTGCCTAGCTACTAGGTTCCAATCTGCTACCTGACTAGCGCTTTTTTTAGAATATAATCCTAGCTAATTTAAGCTTATTACATTGACTTTGATATTATCGCTTACAACCGCTTTTGTGGAGATACTATTTTTTGCTTTGAATATTGACTCAAAACTTTGCACTCTTCAATATAAAAGCAACCGCTTTGATTGAATCTTGCACTCTCTTGAATTTCACCCCTCACCTCGACAAATCTTGGCATCAGCACTGCATACACTTATTGTATATTTACATATGGACCACATACGTATTGTCTATTTCACGTAGGGACAAGATAGGGACCATCTACTTGTCGTATTGTCTATTTAACATATGGACCACACATATTGTCTATTTAACATGGGGACCAGACCATGATGTACCTATTGTACTGCCCAAATCATTATGATCACGTGAATTAGTTGTGCCAATGAGTCAACATCACGTGTATTAGTTTGTTCGACAATAGACATGGGCCAATGAGTCAACATTCTTATGAATCACGTTTATTAGTTTATTCCACATTAGACATGGACTAATGAGTCCATTGCTGTACTAGCATAAGCTCTGTACTTCATAGAATCCGGGAGGGAGGAGCTTCAAGTTTCTGCGGCTCTTCGTAACGTTGGTTGGACTTACAACTGAGAGACTATGGCCAATGAGACCATGCACGCGGTTCAGTACGACAACTATGGCGGCGGAACTTCTGGTTTAAAGGTTGTTTATAGACTTGTAACTCTTATTTCATAAACGTAAACTCACTTGTTTTTTTTTTTTTTTTTCGAGAGTTCATTATAGCCGTGTACTTCTTAACCTCTAAATAAAATCCAAAATTTAATATGAGTTGTTGACCCATTACTGCAATTATTTTACAAAATTGCAAGTATTCTCCAATCATGTCAATATGGATGATTTACTCCTTGTTTTGCGCCTTCAATGAGTTTCATAATGTTTTGTCTATTTATATATCATTAATGTACCCATTTAGAATTTGTTGATTCACTAATTTACTTATATGGTATATATAAGTTATTTACCTGCATTTTCATGTGCAATAATTACCTACCGACACAATATAAGCACATTCTTTTCATACAACGAAGTATTACAACTAAAGGGTGAGAAAATAATAGATACATTATTTTATGACATCACATAAGAAATACACTAATTTACCTATATTTACACTAATTTATCTATATTTACAAGCACAAATTTACCTAGTTGCATATAATAAATCAATTTCAAACAAAAAAATAAGAAGCAAGAACAATTGTGAAAGAGGGAGGTCTTGGCTTCAATTTTCGCCAAAGGCAAATTTGGACCTCATTATTGCTAGCTCATTATGAGGTTAAATTCACCCCCCTCATTTAGTGTAGAAAATATATAGTTTGTTAAAAAAAAAATTGAAATAGACTAGGAAAAGAAATGTCTAAATCCAATTGTTATTAGGGATAATATAGCCATTGGAAACATGTAAAATATTTGAATTCAAGCTTAATTAAGGAATATGCTTATGGGGATCCTAATCACCAGGCTTTAATCAAGTAAAACAATTATGTCGGGTTTTAGATGAAAAATCTATGTTCCAGGGGTGAAGTCATATTTTCAGTTTAATAACTGAAATCCCACTTGGAATACGAGTACTTGATTGAGTCATTGCGATGATGGGAAGGAAATGATAAAGGAAGAGGTTTTATCTTTTACTTTTATTGTTTTTATCCAAAATCACATGATGAAAGAAATAGTAACAGGGATTTACTCAGTTACTAGGTTTTGTTATCGAGAAAATTACCATTTGTATATGCTTATGAAATGTTAAACAAAGTTGTTGGTCTATTATGTGGATACTTTGTTGCTTTGAAGAACTTTGCAGAACACATTCTTGTCATGACATTGGCCTTATTGCAGCATGTTGAAGTTCCGATTCCAAATCCGAAAAAAGATGAGGTGTTGCTGAAATTGGAGGCAACTAGTCTAAACGCAATTGATTGGAAAGCTCAGAAAGGCATGCTCTGGCCTTTGTTGCCTCGCAGGTTTCCGTACATACCTGGTAATTTGGTTTGGCTGCCTTGAGACGCTGCTACTTAGGGGATCCATTTTGTGTTTATAACTCTTTACGTAATTATGCCTCATTCCATGTATTATTTGATCTTTTTCTTGAAAAGTAGTACGAATGTTCGATAAATGCTTAAACACCTGTTTCTTGTTCATTTCATCTATAAACTTCTGGAGTGAAATTTGTGTGTTTTCTGGGGAGAGATTCTTACGTAAACATTGATATTATAGCATAGTTTTTCGAGTTCTTCAAAGGGAAAGGGTGGGATGCATTTCTTAACATGTTTTATGTAGAAGTTTTCACAGAACCGCATTTTGTCAGAAGTCGTTTTGTTAACTGAAGATATTCATTGGTGGAACTCGGAACAGGTATTGATGTGGCAGGAGAGGTTGTAAAGGTAGGACCTGGAGT